GTCCTGTAGGTTAAAATTATCACATGATTATATACATCTTTGTCAGCAATATGGCCAACAAGAAAAAGTCATAAAATTGTTTGGATTTTGGTATGTTATAAATTAATCATTTTCATAAATACTCTGTTTTTCTTTAATTTTTATTTGACCAACTGAATTTGTTTATTGAATGGGGGTAAGATTGTTGGTGAGTAGGCATGCCACCAACAAGACAGAACTCAGGACTCAAAACTCTGAATTCAGGGGAAATCCAAAACAGCAACTCAGGTTGTAACCTCCAGAATTGGAGAATTTTCAATCAGGTGCAGATGCAAACTTTATTTTAGAGAGAAGCATAACACAAAGTAATCATCACACAAATGCTGGTCCTCATCAGTGATCAATGCCCATATGATGACAGCCAAGCCTGGTCTGAGGGGAAGATAAGGGAATGTTTTGTTCAAAGCCTTCCAACATGTGTGAAACCTCCCTGTGGAAAAAAAATTCCATGGTTATGAGGTGTGTGAAAGCACCGTATTGCATGTTTGTGATAGGAAAATTTAATTAAATCTGACACCTGTGATCAATATCAGATTTATTATTCATAAGGAACCATAATTGTAATCAGGAAAAATTATTTATTATTGTGAACCCCACAGATCTGGGTAGACACACATTATTAAAGCTTCATTTATGCATGGCCTTGGTATTATCATTACTTGGGTGATACAATTGTTTGTTATGTCAATTATAACTTCAAATGTATTGAATAATAATCATGACCATCATGAATATTTGATGGATGGAAGCATTCACATACAAGGAAATGAAGGAAATGATTAAATAGCTAAGTCATGTTTGTTTTATTAAAGATGTATGATTAATTGTATTTAAAATATACAATAAAAAAATTGCAAGACTGCACCACTATGTCAATCAAGCCATCAAGCTGTTATGTTTGTGCATGATTTAAAATTCTTTTGTGGCCCCATCTTTCTTTGCTTATATATAATCTATTGGTTCTCTTTTTACTGGTCAAATGATGCCAAATTGGGTAATGGGGTATCAGCAAATATCATAATCTGATTATTCTTTAAAAAAATAATTAAGGTATTAGCATACTGATAAGTTAATAATATTTTTATCATATAGTCCAATAGCCTACAGTAAATATTGAAATTGCCAATATTTATCAGATATTCTTTTAAAATTAATCCTTTTTTTAGTTAATTATTGGCTTAGTTTAATAACCAATGGCTCTTTATATTGTAATTAAGTTATTGGTTAAATATTTCTAAAGCTCTTTGTACTAAAATAATATCATATCTTAAGTAGCAGTTAGGGTTTTCTATTCAAATGTTTATTTGGATAAAACAAATAATTCGAGTAATAATAATTCGAATAAAATGAATAAAAGCGAATAAAAGCGAATAAAAGTGAATAAAAGGAATAAAATGAATAAAACAAATAAAAGCAAATAAACGAATAAAACAAATAAAACAAATAAAATGAATAACAATTCAAATAAAAGCATATAAAGCATATGAAGCAAAACTTGTATTATGAATAGAAATTGTGCATTAATACTAAAATCAAAAAACAACAATAAATAAACAAACAAATAGCTTTTATTATGAAATAATTAATTTTGTTCCTTTGGTGTTAATGATTGAATTGATCACACAAGCAGTAGTCAATTTAAACAGCATTGTTTTTAAAGAATTTATTCAAAATATTTATTTAAATGTATAAAGTTTAATTATTTTTAATGTTGCAAAAATTTTTTGATACATCAATCTCAGTCCATATTTATATACTTTAAAGTTTCTTTATTTCTTTTTTTGATAAATAATAAATTTATCCTTTTGTTTATTTGTTTTAGTAGATTCAAATAGATTTTATTAGATCAAATGGTACACTACAGCAAATTTCGGAGAATCAATTATGTGAAAACACACATAATAAGTGTATATAGCTTGTAGCCTAGATCCTGTAAAATATGCATGTAAAATTTCTTGTTTCCTGATTTTCTATATCATTTATTAATTAAAAATAAAGGAAATTCAATTATTTTTTGAAAAAAAATTTAATGTAAATCTTTATTAAGAAATTGAAATTTGCATGTGTAATTCACATACTAAGAAAAAAATACCATTTTAGTATAATCAACACGAAACAACAATTTTCTTCAATCATTTTTTTAGATTATTTATCAATTTTAGTATGATCAATAAATTTCAGGTCTCAAGATAATAATTTCCACAATTTTATCTTATCTATTTTTAGTAATGGTAAATAATTCTCTAAAAATAATTAGTGTATCTGTTTGTCTGTTTTAGTGTGATCAATAAATTTCAGGTCTCAAGATAATAATTTCAATGACCCATTTTTTAGAAATAAATAATAATCATTTACATATATTTATAATTATTATGTGGATCACAGCATCTACATATTTTTTTAATTTTTTTTTAAATAATAAATAGCAATATTCTTATTTCTTTCACTTTTTAATATACACCAATCATAATTGCTCTTAATTTCCACCCGATTAAATTCATTTGAAAATGAAAATGAAATATTTGTAAAACTAAAGCTAAATTCTTTATTTGTATTTCTTTTGTCAAGATTGTCAAGATTTTTTATAATAAATTGAACACTTGCTTTCCATTCAAATGTTAAATTTAAATTATAAAAAAGCCACAAAGTGAACATAAAATTATATATATAGGGATAAGTGTATATGAAAAATAATAAATATAATGGTTCTAATGAATATGAAAAGGCAATCAATTTTTT